CAAGTCCTTGGCCTTGGCCTTGGCCTCGGAGGCAAGTCCTTGGCCTTGGCCTTGGCCTCGGAGGCAAGTCCTTGGCCTTGGCCTCGGGTTGCCGGTCCTTGGACACAACACTGATTGTTTGGAACTGTGCCTCCTGTGGGTTAATTTTGCGTCTCGGACACGGGACGCAGAGGTAACGAGATGGCTGATCTCTAAACATTCTCTGAGTACTACTATTATTACCACTCCCACTAATACTACATTAATTAATTTAATACCTTCAACTTAACAATGATAATAAAAATAATAAATCAACCATGATTTTAAACTATGTATTATCAATATTCATTATTCCAAACATGAGAAAGCATTCACCAAAAACATAACTGGAATCAAGCAAAAGGACTCCAAATCCCAGCGGCCAAACCCGGAAGTGAAGTGCCGGCATTATTGACTCCAGCTGTAACGCAAATTACTTGGTTCAAACAAACATTATAGTGGCACCGCACAAACGTGACGACTGTGCAAAAATAACTACATAAAAGACACCACTGTTACAGAAAGACTTTACACGCTATTTAAACTGCCGATCGCAAACGGAACAAACCGTGATTGAAACTAACTGTGATGCCACTCTTTATTCGTTGCGCTAACAGTCACCCGTCAGTGGCAGACCCGCCCCTTTTAAAGCGCCAGCGTAACCATCAATATGCGGTTCCCTGGACCGAATTTATTTGATTCCTTCGTGGTTTTAGCGATCCCCTGTCCCACTTTATACCTTTGGACAAGGGATTCGAGGCTCTTTTCCCTCATTGTGTCCGAGGACCGGCAACCCGAGGCCAAGGCCAAGGACTTGACTCCCAAGGCCGAGGCCAAGGCCAAGGAATTGACTTCCAAGGCCAAGGACCAAGAACCGACCTTTGGTCCTCGCGCCGGTCCTCGAGGCCAAGGACCGGCTCGAGGAACACATCCCTGCAGATCAATGCAGCGTCTGCTGTGATGCAGACTTTGTATCGGCCTGTCGTGGTAAAGAAGGAGCTGAGCCAAAAGGCAAAGCTCTCAATTTACCGGTCGATTGACGTTCCAAACCTCATCTATGGTCACGAGCTATGGGTCGTGACCGAAAGAATGAGATACAAGCGGCCGAAATGAGTTTTCTCCCCAGGGTGTCCGGGCTCTCCCTCAGAGATAAGATGAGAAGCTGGGTCATCTGGGAGGGGCTCAGGGTCGAGCCGCTTCTCCTCCACGTCGAGAGGAGCCAGATGAGGTGGCTCGGGCATCTGATTAGGATGCCTCCTGGACGCCTCCCTGGTGAGGTGTTCCGGGCATGTCCCACTGGCAGGAGGCCCCGGGGACGACCCAGGAGACGCTGGAGAGACTATGTCTCCCAGCTGGCCTGGGAACGTCTTGAGATCCCCCGGGAAGAGCTGGAAAAAGTGGCTGGGGAGAGGGAAGTCTGGGCTCCCCTGCTAAAGCTGTTGCCCCCGCAACCCGACTACAGAAAAGCGGTCGAAGATGGATGGATGGATGGATGGATGGTTGCGTTTGAGAGATATGAAACACTGCAGGATTTTGTGCATGATAACATAAAAAACACTCAGTCAAAACACTTCGAGGATTGCAGTGATTACGGGTATTGTGGCTGGTTTGTAACATACAAATTGAAGGTATTTGTTATTGTGACCAAGTGATTCTCCTAATAATCACATTCATGAAGTGAAAGAATAGCAGATCAGCCCTGGTCTTGACCGGTCCTGACACAAAATTTGGTGTACAAGGCTATATCTCCCCAACCTGTGAATCTCAAAGGTTTTTATTCCGTTTCGAAGGACAGCCGGTGGGGGAAAAAGATGAATTATTCAAAAGAGGTCATTGATGATCATTGACAACTATTTTCTACTACAGAAATGCAAAATATTTTTTTGTTAACTTTGTACAAACTGGAGACGTAGGGCCGTGTCAAATGCGTCATTTCCGGGACGACGTTTTCAGAACACCAGCGTGGTAATGTCACAGGTCAATATGAAAGCTAAAGATTAAATGCTAATAAATATAGAAAGATGTTAAGATATGAAAACACTAACAAAAAAAATACACACTGTAGTTTTAACTTAACAGTTATACTGTATTCATTCATTTATTATTATTATTGTTATTATTATTGTTATTAATCAGATTATTTTTTCAACAATCTGCTGTATGCTGCTATGACACTTGAATTTCTTCCTTGGGTACCACTAAATGATTTTCTTATCTTGTCTTATTATTTCCTACTTTATTTCAAGACACATTTTGACCGAACATTTTTGACTGTTGGCAAGAAAAATGCGCGTTCACTCCGGGTTCTTTCAAGGTCACAAATGTTCGGAAAACGTTCGCCGACAGTTTTCATGGTTTTTCTTAGCGCAAATGTTCAAATTTCCCTTGCAACAAGAAAAGTTCGTGTGAATGTCTGCCAACCATTTGGCGAACATTTGCGACCTTGAACAAACCCTGACGTCGGTGCAATCCAACAGTTTTTCCATCGAACCAGGGCCTGATTCTGTCAAACTCTGCTAAAACTGGCCAAGTAAATGCTTAAGGTTGGAGCTTGATGAATCCGACGGAACCAAACAAACCAAACCAACAGATTGTACTCCTGGATATACCCCCACAGGACACTGAGAGACGGTGTTCAAATTTGTATTTCAAGTCTACAAAGTACATGTTGACTATCCATCCATCCATCCATCCATCCATTTTCTGATCCACTTATTCTCACAAGAGTCGTGGTGGGTGCTGGAGCCTATCCCAGCTGTCTTTGGGCAGTAGGCGGGGGATACCCAGAACTGGTTGCCAGCCAGTCGCAGGGTACACAGAGACGAACAACCATCCGCACTCACACGTAAGGACAATTTAGTGTTCAAGCAGCCTGCCATGCATGATTTTGGAGTGTGGGAGTACCTGGAGAAAACCTATGCAGGCACGGAGAGAACACGCAAACTCCACACAGGAAGGGGGGGCCGGAATCGAACCTCTATTCTGTGAGGCCACCGTGCTAACCACTCGTTCACCGGGCCGCCTCCATTTTCTACACCCCTTATCCTGAATAGGGTCGCGGGGAGTTGCTGAAGCCGATCCCAGCTGACTTCGGGCGGAAGGCAAACTACACCCTGAACTAGTCGCCAGTCAGTCGCAGGGCACATATAGAGATAGACAAACATTCACACCCACATACACACCATCACTAAGTGGGAACCGATCCCACGCTGCCTGCACACAAGTCCAGCGTGTGTACCACTCCACCATCAGCGACTCACATGTTGACTATTTGGGCCAAATCCTTTGCTCACTCCAGTCCCAAGGCGAAGCTAACTGTTTATCACAACAAGGACATGAAAAGCACATTGTTCTATCAGACTCTAAGGTTTATTTTCCAGTTGACTGATCCTGCTTAGGAAGCCTTTGTTTCAGTTGTCATTTTTGTTTTCAAACAAAATTCAAAGTCTCTAGTGTCTGAAAATATTGATTCTCAAATCTGTTCTCAGTACATGTTCAGAATAATATGTTGGACTCCATTTTGCATATTGTATTGCATGCTAATCATTCTAATTCCACATGCCACACTGACCGTTGTATTGTTTGTCTCCTCAGGTCGTGATGGAAATGACAAGCACCTTAAAACAGCAGAAGTTCAACCTGGTTCAAAGTGGATTTAACCCCTCAACAATATCAGATCCTCTCTATGTGTTGGATTATCAGCAGAACAGCTATATCCCTTTAACAAAAAGTGCATACCAGAGTATCCTCTGTGGAGAGCGCAAGCTATAAGACTGCAAGTGCTCGTGAGAGTAATGGCAGTGATCTAAGAAGAATTTGATGATTTGGCCTTGCTTCTTTCACTTTTTCATCTTTCAAGATAGTTTGACAGCCAACATGACAATATCAAAAAGATTACACACCAGAAAATTAAAATGCTAAACGTTAAACGTTGATATTTAAACACAGCTAGTATTTGATTAAAATATAAGTACAAATTATGTTGGGAAGAAAAATCAGTCAGTACACATTCAGAGTCTAATGGGTCCTTCTAATAAAGTGACAGTGATTGTGACCGTGTTCAAATGCGGCCAGCTACAAATTGGCTGTAAAGCCACGGTGGCGGGAACAAGAGTTTTTGAGACAGTTTACGGAGGTCACAGACAGAAGCCTGGTGCTGAACATTCGCCTCTGCCTGATCAGTCCCCAGTCGTACACCATCCTTTTTCCACCCTGCCTCCCCGAGCACACTACTGCATCGAAACAAAAGAATCCTGGCAATAAACGGAAAAAAAATCTTCAGCAGGTTATTACAGATGTTAAAAGAGCCTCAGGACGTATCTATTCAACATGTTTATCTGTCATATGCACGGTAGAAACACATTGGTAGGACTGAGCTGGGAAATTCTGACTTCGCTGTTCTCCCTCCGCATTTTCAAAGAATATAAAACATTAAAAAGAGCAATTTGATATCATCAAAGATGAATACAGTACCTATGGGAAAGGGGGATATGCAATGTATGTAAGAAGAATTTTTTTAAAAACCCAAACAAATAGACAAAGCACGGTGTGTTTGACTTTGTCAATAGTAATAGTCCAGTTGGTGCATAAAGGAAATCTTATAAATCGGTACATAATTTTCAATGATGGAGACATTCTTGTTTTTGCAGGTTACAAATGTATTGCACAGTGTAAACGTCCCACACAAGAGGATTACAAAAGAAAAATATTGCAGCGTGGTTGACAGATGATGTAATTTGTTCAGGAGTCTGATGGTGTGTGGGTAGAAGCTTTTTGTTGTTTAATCTTGTAGTTCTGGCTGTGACAATCCTGTAGCGTCTGACAGACAGGAAAAGTTCAAAAAGTACGGTATGTGTTGTGGATGTGGTACTGTGTCTGATAATGTTCTGTGCACTTTTTGTGGCACGGCTGTCGTATATGTTGATGCGATGGCTACTTCACAGATGAGTTACGTAGTTTTAATGACACGCCCGAGAGCCTTCATGTCCTGTACATTACAGTTCCCATACCAAAATGTGATGGGAGTTTGTCAGAATGCTCTCCACTGGACAATTTGCTGAGCAGTTTGAATAATAAGAATAAGAAAACCTTTATTCGTCTCACAATGGAGAAATTCCCAATTACAACAGCAAAGCTATGAAAGGAATGAGAATTCCATTTTTTCATAGCTTTCCCAAGAAGTGCAGTCTCTGTTGTTGAGCCTTTCTGATAATGTGCTGTGTGTTGTGGGTCTAAGTGATGTCATCGCTGATGTGGTCTTTCTTCCACCTTGGTTTGAAAATCATCTCTTTAGTCTTTATAGCATTTAACCCTTTCATGCACTATGTAACCTGCTAACATGATAAGCTGTCCACTGTAGTAACCGCTGTCCCTGAAAGGGTTAAAGCAGGGGTGTCAAACATACGGCCCGCGGGCTGGAACCAGCCTGCAAGGAGGTTTGATCATTTAAAAGTGAAAAAATGCATACAAAACACGAAATTAATATTTTTAATACGGTGCAATTCATGGAGTATCCGCTAGGGGGACACACTGTTTTAATCTGAGTAAAAGACAACATTGTTTTGATCAGAGAAGAAGACAACAGCAGCCTCAGTCTGTCACTGAGACAGACCCAACACAGGAGACGCTATCAAATACATGTGAATACTTTATTCTATTCACATTTAATAGCACTCTCTTTCATTTGTAAGTTGTAGGCAGGGATTACATTTAGATTTTCTCTGCACGTGTAAATGGTTTAAACATTCCTTTCTCTATAAATCTTATTTAATATTAAAAGTGCATTACTATATTTTTCAATACCAAATACTTGTTTAAGTTGTGTGCCTTTGTACAATCAGTGGGATCGGTTGCAATACATATATGTGAATGATAAAAGTAAATTGCACATTTGTCTCAGGAAATCTAAGGAGCTTCATGTTTTGTAAAAGATCTGTTCATTAAATTTCAACATTTTCCTAATGTTCTTGTGCTTCTTTAGACCAAAACAAAGGAAATACATTATTTTGGTTATTTATAGCAGAGTATGGTATAATTTTAATGGTCCGGCCCACTTGACATCTACCGAGGCCGTATGTGGCCCACAATGTGAAATGAGTTTGACACCCCTGGGTTAAAGAGAGTTGTTTTTTTTTTTTTAATTGCCCGTAGAACACCTGAACCACCTCATTCCTGGAAAGCTGTCTCTTCTCCACTAGTGAAAAGGCCAGTGACTTCCGTGTCATCAGCAAACTTGATGTGTCTGTCCCTTGATGGTGCCTCTGTTATCTTGCCAGCCCACTGAGTATTTGAGCTGTAGCACCTGGCATTTAGATGGCGACCACATCCACCTCCCCGCCTTTAACAGTAATAGGCTGAAAATTGGGTATATTCCTTCTCAAGTCAACCACCAACCACTTGGCTTTGGAGAACTTCACTTGCGGGTGGTTTGTTTTGCATTGTTTCCATATATCCTCCAACAGAATCTTGTACTACTTCTGATGTTTACCTATTTTGGAAACTTAATCACAGTGTCATCTCGGGCTGAACGACTTATTGTTTTCTGATTGAAATCAGACCACGTGATCACGTGATCACAAAGACGATTGTTTTATTTTGGCGCTCTTATCCTCTTCAGCTCACCAATCAGAAGCGGAATGCTACTCATAGACAGGTCACGCTAACCAATCAGCTCCAAGCTGGTTAAAAAAAAAGCATATCAGAATCTGATTTATTGGCCAAGTATGTAAGAAACACAAGGAATTTACTTCCCAGTTATGCGTCGCGCATCGTCACACGGCTGCTCACGAATTCGGGGAAACACTAGGCGCTAGGCTAACTTATACTGCATTGCATGTCTCTGCTTATCAGCTACAGTATGTGTGAAATGTGAAGTCTGGAGCCTCTGCTCTAAGTAATCATTGCCTCAGTGGCACCGAATAAAGCTACACTTCTAACAAGTATCACTTTCAGAAAAGGCAGCCTCTGCTCTAAGTAATCATTGCCTCAGTGGCACCAAATAAGCTACACTTCTAACAAATATCACTTTCAGAAAAGGCAGCAAGATAAGGAGGAGCTTAGCACGTGACACGCTGAGCAAGAAGACAGAACAGGAGACGATGGAAAAGACAACGCTAATCGCTAACCTAGTGTCAAATACAAAAGAGCTTAGTTATATACCGTAGTACTTTGTTCACAGAAGTCTAGCTGCAGCCACGTCAGAGCGGAAAGTAACCAGGTCTTAACAGCAATTAGCAATTGAATTTGTAGCTCTCAGGAGAAAATAGCTGAACAGCTACATTGTGAGCTCACAAGAAAAAAACAGGAAAGGAATTGGTGAGAGCTTCTATGAGCCAAGACGAGGAGCTTATGAGATCACACGTGTATTAGTATATTTATATCAGCAATGCTATTTGATTTGTACTATTTTGCACCATACGCTTTCAGAAAAAGAGGTGTTCTCCAAGAAAACACAATTTTAACCCCCAAGGTACAAATAAGTATTGTTTATGGTTAGATAAGCTACACAAATGGTCCAAACAAGCAAAGGGACTATGTCTCTACCTTTTTGTTTGCAATTAAGGGTACAAGGGTACTAGTCCTATGGAAAAATGCCTTCTGAAAGAGCTCACTCTTTGTATGGAATGTGATTAAAAGAAATACACAGGAAGAGTTGTAATCTCGACCAGGGATGGGGAAATTTACTTTGTGTACATTTTGCACTTTATACCACTGACAACAGTTCTTATGAAGAAAAAAAAAGTTTTTTTTCCCTTTTTGGCCACTACTGTTCCCGGAATGCCTTACGTCATGCGATACTCAACTTTATCCATCATAAAGTGGTTAATCAATATAGTTTGTGTTCCCCATAGTTTGTTGAATGTTTATCAAAACTGTTGCATTACATTTAAGGTGCACATTGTAAATATGAAACCGTGACTCGTGAAATACATTCAAATCCGTGAGTTCTATTGATGCAAAGATAACGTTCCCTTGATCTAGTACTGCATCTGTATACGTGATTGTGCACATCTTGGTATTTACTGTACATCTGTGGCAATGTCTTTAATGGCCGCCCTAAGCGGCAAGGGTTGGGGAGTGTTTGCGCACGGCCCGAATGTTGATTTTTTTGTCAGAGTTCAGTCAAGGTCGCAAACAGTCGAGAAAACTTTCGCCCAATCTTCACGGTCGCAAACAGCTTTTCTTGTCAAAGACAGGCATTCCCAAACTGTTGTAATGGTTGCAAACAGTTTTCAAATTTTGAAGATGTTCAAACTGTTTGAGAACATTAATATTTACGTCTTTGCGACCATTTGGGACGAACCTTTACAAGACTCACAGAATTGCAAACATTTGTGGCTCAGAGGGGGGGATTTCATGCCAACTTCCCGAAAATCAAATCCACTCCCCCCACCCCAAAAAAAAAAAAAAAGCAGTGAACTATGTACTATTGCATGTACATTTCATTGACTGAATATGCGCTGAAATACCTTCATCTTCATTCGAAAATGCTACTTAACACAGGTGACTGACATGACTTCATTCTCATTTACTCCGCGGCGGCACGGCGCTTCATTAGACAGTCGGGACGCTGAGCGGCTTGTGCTTCGATGAGGAAGCGTTGAGTGGGTTTTTGGACAAACGCTGGGCTTTATCCCATCCATGGGTCGTGCAGCGTCTTGAGGGTCTATGGCAGAGGTGGACAATCCCAGTCCTGGAGGGCCGCTATCCTGCATGTTTTCCATCTGTCCCTGTTGCAACACACCTGATTCAATTGTTCAGGCCTCAACAGAGCTTGCTGATGATCTGATCATTTGAATCAGGTGTGTTGGAGAATGGACAGATGGAAAACATGCAAGATAGCGGCCCTCCAGGACTGGGATTGCCCACCCCTGGTCTATGGGGTAGTGGGCTGGCCCGGACGCTTGGCTTCTGCATGATGATTGAATGATCTGTCTGAAGTATAATCCTTCTTTGATTGACAGCGAAATAAGCGAATCCGCAAAGTCGTATCATCACCCTCCACTCACTGCAGCTGTCACACAGCTTGCAAGCTCGATGATGACTGAAGCAGTGCTGCTAATTTTGTCAGTTTCAAAAACGATGAGATAATTATTTTGAATGAATACGTTAAAGAAACAATATCGCTCCAGGGGTTTTGTAAGATTGAACGGCTGACGCGACAGCTTTACTGCAGGGATGATGAAATCTTATTTTTATTTTAATTGCTACTACATGTGATGTTTTTTTTTTTTGCTTTTCATGCTAATATCCGGTTGCCGATGGAAAAAGTTTGGACAGCCGTGTACTGCATAATGTGTGATGGAATAGGCGCCTATAAGCTTGTGCTTCAGCCTACTCCTTTTGGGCTCTTATTATCATGTGCCGAATATTGAATGTAAACATATCGTCTGGTGTACCATGCCCAAATAAACCAATTTCCAAAAAAAAAAAAAAAACTGGGGAAAAATGAGAAACCTTGAGAAGGGGCCGCAGATAGGAGAATCCCCCTTCCTGGATGAAGAGGTTGCAATGA